GAGAGATCAATTTCAAGGTAATGAACCGAGACCAGGGTAATGAAATTAAGTTTTTCTGATAGGCTTTAGCTCCCTTTAAACCATATCAAAATTTTTTAATTTGTTATAATATATTTACATAATTTCTTATTTTATTTGTGCTTGTATTTCTACTTTTGTTCAGTTTTTTCAATCATTTTGTAGCGTTCTACTTACTAACAATTACCTTGGCAGAGCCGGTAACTAAGTATAAAGATAGCCTACATTTCAGCGAAGATAAAAACGTGGAGTATGTACAGTGGGCTAACTTCACGCCAGTGAAGTTATTGCTTAGTATTTATCCTGTAATTGCATGTTTTCCGAACCCGGTGTTCTAGGACAAATTTAGGAAAAAAATTGGAAAAATTGATTTTCATCTCAAAGATTCAAGTAAAAAACGCATAACAATCCAAGCACCAAATTTTAATGGCTTTGTTCGTATCATTAATATGTTAACATAAAATGAGTATTAAAAGAATCCGATAAGGAGATTAAATTAAATGCATTGTTGAAAGAGAGCATAGTTGCCTTAAAGAATTTACAATTAAATATAGATTGATAAAGCTTAGCGAAAGGCAGCTACAAACATTGAAGTTTACCCCAATTAGCAAACTTGGCGAATTATTAATGTCGCTTATTAACTTTATTAGTATGGACTGACATAAATTAAAACGAATGTAACTAATGAACTTTGATGTGGTAGTAATACCAGCGGCTCTGAAAGCACGTTCCTTAACGTGGAAAACAAAAACTGTTTCTAAACAGATTCGAGTGAGCCAACATGGTAACGATAGGAAGGAAACCACACAGGGTTCATTATCGAATAACGCACCCAGATCAAGGAACAAATCAATATTATCCAATTAATGCAAATAAATAAGGTACTCAGTTGTGATGAATTCGTTTTTAACAACAATAACTTCATGTTTTTCTCAGATCTTTTGTTGCAAAATTGAACGATCACGGATTGATCATTTATAACTTTGTGTGAGCGTTTTTATTTTTGAATACGAGCAGCCTCCTCATTTAAGTAAGCATAGACAATTCCATCCTTCTACCTTTCACTGTTTATGACTAACAATCAAAAACCCATCAATTTCATCCATTTTTCTTATATTTTATCAAATGCCTGTTTCTTATAGTTGCATCAGAAGAATGGTTAGTTTGTTTTTTTTCATAATGTATATAACGCCCCAATGGAAGCTTCAAAGACCCTAAAAGCATATACATTTTTGATCAGCGTGAAATTCTGAATTGATTAAGCCATGTCTGTCCGCCGCTGTGTCTGTGTGCTGTTTGTTGTTGTCACTCTCATGGTCGCAAAAATGAAGTTATCGACTTCAAATGTTTGCAAAAACATTGGAAGATCTTGCACACAGGTTGGTATTGAAAATGGGTCATATTGGTCAGAGCAGAACCTCACAACGGGGCGTAAACTGAACGGATCCATTTTTTTAACAAAAATTTGTGCGTTTTTGCTCGTTACTCGGAAATTCTTTACGTTAAAAGACTGAAATTATCCATGCAACACTTCACTTTATGCAACATTCCACTCTTTATGTGCACAAAAGGAAAAAATTGGCTATGCCCACAAGTGATTAAATTTTGCTTTTTCAGTTTTTTGAGGTTTTATGTTTATTTATTTTGTACATTCCTCAAATATATCCTAAAATAGATACGATAGGCACGGTTACTTGGTAGTTTAATTTTTTCTTAATAACATCAGCGATATGGGTACCAAACAAAAGAACTTGGAGAACAGAATGAGAAAAGCATAGTGGTGGGTATTTCAGATTCGAGTCCTGCCGAATACAATTTTCTTACTTGTATTTTTGTTCTTGAAACATTTTACCTTTGCATAGAACCCGTAATGATATAATTTTCTATAAGCAAAGGAGAAGGGGACTTTCCAGTGTATGATAAAAGCAAAATAAACAACAAATTATAGAAAGAACGTGCCGATGAGATTTACGGGAGTCAACAGGCTTAGACTTCTATTGCCCAATCCGTCGTCAGCGACGGTCTCTAAGCAAATAGAAATGTGCTCAACCGATCGTAAGCCCAGCGATCGTGCGTTTAGCCTTAGCAAAATGACGATTTCGTTTTAGTCAGAACGATATACAGTTTTCAATTTTTAATACTATGGCTTAGAATCACCTGCTTGTGTGTCGTACTTATTTTAAGTTTTTCACAATTTAGTTAAAATTTCCATATAGCCTTCCTGTGTATGTTTTGATTACATGCAGTGTAATACACTGTTGACCAGGGCATAAGATAATAAAATGGTACATGGTAAGTACGCCGAGCTTATTGTACTTTGTGCAAACATGTTACATAACTGTTTGCATAAGCACGATACACACCACGGCAGACACAAACTGAAAAAAAGGGCGGGCTTTTTGATTGAAACGGAGGCAGAAATCAAAACGTTTATTTTATTATATAACGAGTGTAAGAAAACGTCAATATTGTTCACAGCGATATCGTGACCACAGTTCCGTAATAAGCTTTGAAGCCGCATTATACAGGTTTTTTAAAGAGTTTCTGTGAGTGAATAGGAGAGCGATATAGCAAGCTAAAGGAATACGACGCCATAACCCCGTTGCAATTTAGATATATTTCAAACAGTTTCCCCGTTAAGAATGAAAGTCAATATATTTGGCATTTTAACGCACGTATCACGTAAAGTCTTCAAGTTTCCATTAACAAAATTTTATTGGAGTGGTTTTCCAAGCTATGCATATTCCATTTTTATGTTTAGTTCAACGATAGAAACAGATTTTATTGCAAAGAGTCGCTAAAAGTGTTTAGACTTTAATGACATCGCCTGGAACTTGCAGACTGATAACTTCAGGTCTCAAGCGATTGTGTTCATCATAGGCTCGAAAAACCACAGTGGATTTGTAACGTCCTTCCATGTTAACAAGCGTCTGTCCCTCACCTTTGGCTGTAAAAGGGTAGTGGCGATATTTTTTCTAAATTTGGTAATATATTTAGAAAAGTTTAAATCGATAAAAATAACGCTATACATACACACTTCTGGACACTGAAGGTCCTCCAGAAAAACGTGTCTCGACCATACCTCGTAGACATACGAATGGGTATGTTTCATTTCTTTACAAAGGTCCAATATGCGTACCGAAATTGGGGTTTGTGTCCCACTACCTCGAAAAAATTTTTTTAGATCTGCGTCCATCTGTAAAAAATTTAAATGGCAAAATTTTAACTCTGCAAATGGTCAGACTCGCTTATTTTAAATATATTTATTTTTAGTTCTTATTTTTTGTATTGCAGACGTCCACCATGTGAACCCGTTGATTCATGCAACGTGTATCGAAACAGTATATCAATGGCTTAAACAGTTTTTTTAGTGGTTTAAATTTCATTGCAAACATAGGTATAAATAGAAAGGCCTGTTAATTTTATGTTTTTATTAAAAAAGACATAAAATTGACAATTGATGAAATTAAAACTTTATTTGAACAGTAATAACGATGATCACAAAATTAACTTTCATCAAAAATTGTAGCTAATCTATTTTTTTCCTTACAGTTGATTGAAATTTCCCGCATTCACGGTAGAACAAAAATAAATGCACATATCTGTCAAACAACAAACGATTTGTACGTGTTATATCTAAACAGTATTATAGTATTGGACGCATTTATATATTATATTAGTTTAATTTACCGAAACTTGGTCAACAAAATAGCACAAAATAAAACGCTTTTCCATTAACGTAAATTGGACAAAGCTGTAACGGAAAACAATTTTCATTTCATTTAAATATTTACCATTACACGATCATCATTTATATCCCAAAGAACTTTACCAGTTCCGTCGAAATTTATCCCACCATCGTCATAAGAAACCATCCATTCAGTTGTATTTATAAAGTGATCCATGCCGAACACTTCACCCGATGCAATTAACATATGGTTCAAGATTTTCTGGTACGAATCGGTAAAGAGCGGCTTGCACTTCAAAAGCCAATGTAATTACAATTACTGCAATGGGACCGTTCAAAATATTCATTGTCTTGCCTTCAAATCACATAAATTTATTAACAAATTTTTTCCCGAGCGTTTTTCCATTTATCATTTAGGATTACGAAATTTTTAATTTTTAGCTGTGATAAAATAGTTGATACTGTAATATCTCCCTATCGTGTGCGTGAATAGAAACGTCGAAAAAACAAGTAAATATATTATATACATATTAAGTGTTAGGTACTATATATATACATAAATATATACGTTCATATTAATTAGTTAATCATTAATTCTTCATAAATTATTCATTACTATTCATTAATTTGGGTGACCGAAAATTATTGTTTTTGCTTTCACCTACAGCCAAATGTTTTATAAAAGCCATTTTGTTGTAGGGTATCCCAACCGTGAACTGGTGTAGTACAAATTCAGAAAATAAAATTTGCTTCGTAAATTTTCCAATATCTATTTTACATCTAGACAAAATTAATATACCCTGTGGGCTATAAAAGCAAGTTGACATATAAAGTTTTATCTGTATTTATCGTTGCTACACGAACACAATGATGTTTGACTAATAGAAAGAATCTTAGTTTAAAATTAAAAACTTGAAGTGTTATCGAACTCACTAAAAAATGCGTCGGGTCTCGTCAATGTAACTATAAATGTAGCTAAATCTATCATCGAAGGTGAAACCTTGGAACATGACCGCAAGTTTTCAGTCCGCAATAGTGTTACGACATACATTAATTTAGCCTCATAAAATACTAATAGCACAGATCTAACAAAATTAAAATTCTGATTGATTCTTACATTTTATTTCACATTTTCGTTTGTCTTGAAACATAAGTAAGGAAAGTTCGTGCATCGCTAATTGTATCGAATTAGGTTATTCACATTCAATGCCTTGTGACTTAATCTGAAAATTGAGATTTAAGCTATCGCATCACATAAAAGTACTTGCTATTGCTTTTCCCATTCCGCAGTTATTCTTCGGCATAAGTATTTTCATAAGTAAACACTTTCTAAGCAAATTTGTGTGTAAAGTCGACACAACCGCTCTAAACTCAGCAGAATTACAACAATCAAAACATAGTTGCCCATACACGCTGTAAGGATCAAAGTCATTCAACTCGCTTTGGTCCTACACGTAGCTTAAGAAGTTCATTATAGCTGTATGTTTCAGCATATTTTTATGTACATATTTTACGTGTAGTATATTCTTGGTATCATTAATATAGTTATTTACATTATTTGATATTCAACGTTAGTTCAAGGTGACAGGTTTAAAGTCGCGTGAACTGCCCAATATCGTCCCCGTACCGTCGTGCGAAAGAATGTAGAAATACCGTGGTGGAGAGGTCAGCTGATATGTCTCCAATGGGGCTAAATAACCTATTGGCAACGCCGATCCGACCGTAAGAGAAGAAGCATATAATTTCCTCTTCCTTCTTCTAGACTGAACCACCACAGACGTAAGACGTAGAGATAAAAGAGAGTCTGACAGGTGCTGAATTGGTGTTAATCACAGCAAAAACTTCCTATACCGTCCGACAATACGAGATTTTAAGCTAGGGTAGGATCTAAAATACACCGGAGGTAAGAACTCTTAGTGATCACCCATAACGGTGTGAGTAAAAGTCGAAAATATACGAAATAATTTTTGTAAGTCTGTAAGTCCTTAAGTTTGTATGTATTCAATTGTATTCAAACTCACTTCAAATTCAAAACGGTTTTGGAATTACCGCCGATATTTTGACCAAAATTAACCTCTTCAAAATTTGAGTTACGAACAGCTAACCCATGAGCTATGAATAAAACTGTCGTTTAACTAACTAATTTAGTTACCCGTATTATGCCGTATTATCGAAAACAGAAGACTAATAGAGTGTATTAAACTATAATCGTCCAGTTCCGAGTGATAATGTAAAATTTTATTATTAAACTCCATGGTCTAGATTCTACAGCCACAAAAAATTGCAAATCAATGCTCTTTTATTTAGTCATTTTTTTTGTAGAATACTGCACTTTTCTCAAAACTTGTTATTATTAGCAGCAATTTATCATTTTGCGTGGATCATATTTCATGTATTAAACAACCGGGTATAATATCAACCAAAAAGATTTAAAATATTTGCACGAACATAATTGCTAAGTATTTATGTTATAATTGCATGTTTACCTAGTTAGGTGTTCGGTAACAAATTTAGCAACACAATTGAAAAAAATACGAACTACGATTTCTATCTCAAAAAATCAAGTAAAAAATGAACAACATCAGTTTAGATAACTTTCATAAAACAAAACGCAAAATTCATATATATACAGCATTAATAAATTGACATCAAATGAGCGTTAAACGAATCCGGTAAAGAGGTTAAATGGAATGAATCATGAAAATGAATCACTAGGTGCCATAAATACTTTACAATTTAATTTAAATTGGCTAAGTTTAGTGAAAGAAAGTTCCTCGGATGGCGACTGTTAACGGTGCAGTTTACATGTTAGTATTCCCGGGTATCAAATTTACCAATACAAATTGACCTAAAATAAAACGACTATAAGCAATCATCTGCTTTGATACAGTGACATTAATACTAGTAGCGCTTTCACGTGAAAAACAAAAACTATTTCTAAACAGATTCGACTGATCGAACACGGAAACGATAGAAAGGAGACCACATAAGGCTCATTTCAATTGATACGAAATTACTCAGTTGTGTTCAATTCGTTTTTAACAACGATAATTTGTGGTCTTTCCCAAATCTTTTGCTGCGAAGTGGAACGGGCACCATATAAACAATATTTATTAAATTAAATTGGAGTATCTTGGAAGATAGCAGTTGTAAGTGTGCACCAAGACGTTGGTTAATTTGACCATGGGCGGAAGATGGTAAAAGACTAGACAACATAAGAAAATCAGTACACCTTACACAAACTGACATAGTAGGAAATTCTTCACAGTGGAAAGACATAAACAGGCCTGTTATAAAATGAAGTATAAGCTTAACCCTTCACTAAATATAAAGATTGATGCTTTGAAATTAATAATCTGTGGTCAAGATCTTATCGAAATGTGCGAATGTTAGACCTTTTTGTCAGCCTCTAAAAAAGACCTTAGACATGTTACATGTGAATTTTAAAAGACTTGTCGGCCTTGTAGGAAATCAGGATAAAACGTCGTAATAGACGTTTTGACAGCGAAACCCTTAAATCGAGTATAATTGTGTGTGACATTTTCGATGCCGTGCTTTTACAATCCTGGTTATTGTAAAATGACATTAAAGCCCGAGTAGAAAGCATATTTTCAGGAAACGTCTCAGGATTTTTAAAATTAGACCACAAAATGTAACAACACACCATTTCACAAAGCGCCGTCAAGAGCTAACTTGAACTGACTACTATGGAACGACTAACATTAGAATAGAAATAATATCTCAAATTTTACAAAAGTAGTGTGCAATGGAGTCATTACTATTGGCATTAACATTGCACTTAACGAACTTTTCAAAAGGCTTTGAAACATTGTAGCCCCAAGAGAAACGAATTGCATAGCGCAGGCATCTACAATAAATTACTTGGTTGAGATAATTAAGTGTAAGTGTCTCTATGGAAGAGCTGAGGCAACCATTCTCAGAACCATTTCTCCTACATTTCCCGAGATGTTAGTTTTTCAAAACAATTTTTTTTTTTTTATTGTAACACGGTAGAGACGAACTACTTGTTACTTGAATTGTCTATACCACAATGAACTATGTAACCAAGAAATTAAAAATTATGGTCAACTTTTCAAATTTTCGTTCTTACCTTTATGTGTTGGGTCCATTAAAGTCCAGTGATCTGCCCTGTCTGATTTAATACGTGTTTAAGAATGGCTTTCAATGAAAAGTAGACTAATTAAGCAATAACAACGTGCTAGCTTAAATTATATATACAAATAGCGCTAGAGGAGATTATAATTCTCTAAGAGCATCGCGCTTTTACAATTTTATTCATTCAATAATATGGAGACTGTTGTTTTTTAAATTGATAAATTCTAAACGCAAATCACGAAGATATGTTATGAATTGGGGTAATTGGGAATGTTGCAATACTTCTATAATAACTGACCTTTTTCTCTCTGATATTCTTATTTAAGTCTACCGTGTACCAAACATTCCCTCTGTATGTGATAACTACTCCTATTCAATAAGTATAACGCAATAGTTCATTCTATGTTTTACTCTTAAAAGTTGTTTCAAAAAAGATTGCTTTACACCGGCTTGGAAGACTATTTCTATTTTACTATTTAACCAAACTGCGCATAGAAAATACATGGAGAATGACTGGGATAGTGCCAAACTTAGTGTGCTACCCAAATAGTTTCAAGCACTGCTAACAAAGATATTTAGGTGTGTTTTATGGTTAGTTATAATGCCCTGTCTGTAGATTATGGCTTATGGGCTTATATATTGCAACGTCTCGGTTTCTCCAATAAAAAGTGGGCATGGTGTAGTAGCTGTTTCACTGGTTGCACCCAACCTGTGTTGTTCAGTTCTTCCTAATCAAGAAAAATTTCCAAATCTTTTGGGTTTTTCTCAGTGTGACCACGTTAGACCACTTTTATTTATATTGTTTATGAATGATCTTCCAGAGTGCATCCAACATTCCACTTTAACTTTCTACTTCGTTATTCCTACCCTGTATATTTGGTGGGTAATTAATGGTATAGTATCCAAAAAGTTTTAAGTTGTCATTTGTCTGGTTGTTGACCACTTCCTATGTATGTATATATTAACAAGAAAGATTTAGGTTTTGTTTTCGACTTTAAACGCAAAGGAACGGAATTTACTTGCCGTTTCCTTTACGTCCGCTAGTGTGATTAAAAGCATTATATTACGAAATTACTTACTTAATTACGTGTTGTTGTTTCCAAGCTTAGGTTATTAAAATTTGATTCAAGT